TGGTCGATGACCTAAAGTACGCTTCCTCGAACGTTTTGCTACGGCAGCCCTGCTGTAGCCTCACTATCGCGTAGTCCATAGGTAGCCATTGCATCGATCGCCCTGCGCTAAGATAAGCAGGGGTTGAGAGACTCAACTCTCTATGAGGATGTACTATGAGTGATCTGATGAAGTGCCGAAGAGATTCCTTCTCAACAAGCGCACTGATAAGGAAATGCGCCATCATGACCGTCGAAAGGCTTACAAGCCAGCTTCAGTGAGGCGGATGTCCGACTAGAGCGTCGACTGGTCGATGACTTCATGATGTAAAAAGTGAGACCGAGACGTCGGGATGGGTGTATTGCCTTAAGATCCTGCTGTTTGAGTTTCCACTCGTCTCAATAAGACCGCTTTGTCAGCTACTGACCAATTGTCAGTTGTTAACCGAGGTCGGTCCCCAGATTTGTATCAAGCAACCTTTTCTCTTCTCCGAGGAAATTCGAGGTGAAGAGTGCGCCAGGTCGTAAGCGATCACATCACCAGGGCAGTTTGTTGAAGTAGGATCACAGATATAAAATATCACGAGCTTACCGAGTATGGTTATCCACTGCATCTTGATAACATCCTATTGGACCCGTCGACCCGCCTAATGTACCACGTACGTGTGTCACCTATTATACATCGAGCAATGTCGGTGAAGTCCCATCATTCCATTGCCTGGCTGCTGTAAAAGCACTTCAATTTGGTGGCAAGTCGACTCTCTTCCAAGTCTTGACGGTATCTAGACAGAAATGGTTCACGTAACGGATGCGCATACTGAGCTGCATCATTGCACAGAATCCATTGTGGTGTCTCTAGTGGCTCAGAATTGTGTCGCTGATCTTGAGTTAAAGATAGCGTAGGAAAAGATGATGAGGATATTGCTTTGTCTGTAACAATGCGCTTTTCACATCCGACCAGGTGTTAAAGGCGGCGGTCATAGTATGGTTTCGCTAGACACACATTTTGTTTGCATTCTCTTTAGGATAGTACGAGTAAAACGAAATAACTTTTTCTGGTACGACCGTGAGCGGCCCGGTGTAGTTTCGCCGCAACTTTAATCTACAGGACGCATACACTGGGTGTGTAAGCAGAATAACTGCATTATTCAGCCGGCACGTGACGCTCAAATTTTTTAAGCTAGATTGACTGTTTGTATACGAAGTGTAGACGGCTTGATGTCAGAGAGTCAAATTGTATCGACAGCCCCCCCCCGTCAATACCAATAAACTCTGTGACAGTCAAGACTTTGAAACCATTATACAACTGAACTAAAGCCCATACAGTTTTTTTATGCATTATTTAAAGCAAACATAATGAGACGGAATCTCACTGCAGCACTGCTACTTTCCACGGGATTGACGCACTCCTTCTGATAGTCTGGCTTCGGGTAGTAGCGGTAGACATGCCAAATCTGGTGCCTAGTATCTTGATCAAAGTTTACCAAAATTTTGCAAATTCAATCGAATACAATAGTAACCGGTAAGTCATGATGACATTTTTTCCGTCGAAAACAGTTGAGTCGTACCCTCATCACTCATGATATCGCAGACAGCAGCAATATGGATCGGCTAGCTAGATATTGAGATACGCTTTAAATTTTCCAACACGCTCCGCTGATCAAATCTTCATTCATCAGCTTCCAACACACTGCCGGAACCGGTCAAATGACCGATGCATCCGAATGCGGCGGCGGTTTAGCCTTTTGACTTTTGTTATACATGCGCACATGTGTGTATAGTTACGTGTACATGTTGAGCCACCAATATAAAGCTCTTACCTAGCAGTATGTCTTCTATTTGCCACCCAAAGCAATATCATTTGCCTCGTACAGTATTCCGTACTCGAGGTCCACGTCGTGAGGTTCCACCAAACGTAAGCCGTCAAGTGAGTATGTGCTGTATGAACCGTGATACAAGAAAAAGCGGTGCAATTTCGCAACCAGGTGCGTCAATAAACTTAATCAGTACTGTAATGACAATTTTAGTGTGTTGCGAGTACAGGCAGCAAGGTGTTTGAGTAACTGAACTCCTCTCTTTTCAGATATTTCAGCAACGCATGTTGCGCTTGATATCTAAGCTATATGTCTTGCCTCATCAACTGCCAAGGACCCATCGTGACATGCGACAATCTATAGTCGAAGAGGCTTAGAGCTTACCATATAAGTATAGTCAGCACAGGAAGATAATCCTCACCCAAATTCTGCTCATGATTTGTTGCGACGTCACTTTAAGCAACGAAGCATGATTTGTGTTGATCACGAACGACTGAATGCCAAGCATGTGCGTCTGAGCTTGAATAGGGCATCCTTCATTGCAAGTAGCTCTTTGTCATACACACGTTTAGTTTTCGCAGCCGCTTCAGGCTGGCAATATTCAAACAAGATCATGCCTTCATGTCCTTCGGCATCGGGTCGCCTTTTAACACGGTCTATGACAAAAGATGAAGCGTCACAGACGACATGCATGGCCCTCCAGTATAAAAAAACAGATCGGGGCGCGCATGAGGCTCGCTTCCTCGGGCTTAGAGCATTACGATCATCTTCTTACCCACACCCAGCACCGTTTGACACATTTTATGAAGATCGGCGAGGGGTCGAGCCAAATCAGCAAAGATTGTTCCGGATCGTGGAATTGTGTACCCAACCTGTTTTCTTATTTTCTTAAGTCTGTTGAGGGCAGAGGCACGGGACGACCTATGATAATCGCGATTGTTGAGAAGAAAAGAAGAAAAGAGAATGAAAGAGAAGAGAAGAGAAGAAAAAATAAGAGAAATGAAGAGAAAAGAAGAGAAGTGAAGAGAAGAGATGCGGGTCCCGCCCGAAAGCCATGCTTTCCATTTTCAATGAACAATCTAAGAAATATTTCGGCGCCACCGACACACTTGTGTTTCTTCGGCAAGCAGCTTATTCAAGCTTGCATATGTGCACTGCTAGTCAGTATTGAATAGATCAGTTACCGAGTTATATGCGACAATAAACGAATGTATCAGCGAAAAGCGTATATGCATAGCCATGATCTGGCCTGAACGGCTGCGTCGCCAGGCCGAAGCACAAGTAAGCTCCTGTGCTATACATAGCCACTTCCAAAGCATCCGTATTGGAGTGCTCGCTTTGGTGAGAAGGATATCGCAGTCTCTTATCGCAATTGATTAAAAACATCTATCAACTTACGGGCTTTGAGCAAGAGCAGCTATTTATGCCTTTCTCACAACATGACTTTTAAAAAATGTGTTTGCACCTAAATATCAAATGCATTTGGCTGTTATAAGCACGCACAATCTGCCACTTGCCATCACATTTCTAAATTGGAACAAAAAGTCGGCATCGATAGAAGGCTTACAACTTCTCATCAAGCCCGCTTGGTGCTTCGCATAGAAACAAAACATCAAGCACATCACGCTGTTATTTTGGTAAGGGCCACTGAGGATATAGGAGTTGACGCGTATCGTCATTACGTCGCGGATTTATTTCAACAAAGGTAAAATAGGACCCACAGAATCCTTGAAGATGTGACCACTCTTTGCACTCAGTTCTTTGCGAGGGACTTCAATAATAGGCGGGGGGGAGCTGAGCTTCTTATGCGGTACCACACGTAACATTTTGATAACTTCACTGACAAATTTTATTCTTTGTCAATACGCCATTCCAGATTTCGGGGAAATTCTGCCGAAGGTGGTAAGGGGGGGCTTTAATTTCATGAATATTCTGATCAGTCCGTTCGAGAGTAAAATTTATTCTTAATTTTTCGTGAACATTCAATGTGCCGCAAGGTGGGTTGGCTCTTCACACGGTAGTGCTGACTCAGCCGTTATGTTACATAACAGCAAGATTAACCATCCACCTCAATTTCAGTGTCTGGTCCATGTACATGCACCTGATGACCACTCCTCAACTTCATCGGCTTGAGCACAGGTGACACCAGTGTACAGTTTTCATTTCACCGTCACATCAGAGAAACACTTTGGACACATGACTTACGGTCGTTCCTTCCCGTCTCAGCAAAAATACAACCTGGAGACCGCGATATACGATCACCTCTCTCTTTCTCACCCTGAGATCGTAGCTCACTACAGCCTCTGCCTTCTGAGCCCTGCACCGGGCACTATGTAATATGATTACTACTCAATTTTTATCTGTTCTGGTCAAAAGGTGATTAGCTGCATAGTATAAGCGAGTTTGTTACTCACCATTGTTCCACGTGGTGTGAAGTACGTATGGTAATTCCCCAAAACCATTCTCAGAACAAGACTGCCAAAATTCTCGTACTTTATTCCGAGAATCAACAAAATCCTCGAGATTTTCAGTGTTCCCGGCGCGAGGTTTACAGACGCCGTATGTGTATTTGGTATTTTCAATGTATTTACGTGCTGTCTATCATTTTCGGCAGATGAGCGTCACACGTAATTACGCCACGCTACTAAATCTTTAAGACTTTTTGCGGCTCCGCAAAGCTCGATATTTTGATGCTCACAGATAAAAAGCCTGGGATGTGACCCCAGCTCGCCGAGAGAGTATCGAGTAATTTAGGCAAGGTCCCGTTCGCCACTAATATACCTTGTGAATGTGCAGCCGTGCCCAGACTTTCCCAGTTGGCCACCCTGCACGAACTGATACTCGGCCTTCCCCTATAAGAAATTCGTCCGACGATTTTGCTTGGATGTCCGCCCCTTCGTTCATCGTTGTAGAATGCGAAGAGGACATGCAGAGCGCAGATGATTTTTTTTCACAGATGTAACAACTGCGAGAATCACAATGCTGGTCGGTAGCTAGCATAACCTTTCTTCCTCGGCCTTACTGAGGTCCGTGCCCGTGGCATGCTCCTAAAGCCCCCACCCCTCGTCCTAGCTCTCACAATACGAGATTTACAGTACGCAAACAATACAAATCTATCACTCCTCCGAGGTAGCAAGACTGAAAATGACCTTGGTGTGAGCTGAATCTAAGATCGAATACCCTTCGAAGACGGTAAGTGCTATTGCCTATGAAGGGTATGCCTTTATCGTGATAATAAGCGTAGGCAATTCCCGGACATAGTATTGTAGCTACACCCATTACGGCTGGCTGAGAGGTGTAGGCATGTCGCTACAAACGATTTAATGCTAAAATTACATTTCAATGGAAATACTGCGCACTAGCACCCATTCGCACGCGCAGCCTCCTAGCTCGGGAACACAAGAACGACGCGCTGTATCTCCGTGACCGAAATATATATCTGGCGTGAAATGGGTATGTTGTGTATATACACCGTTCACTTTTGAACAACTGTGTGAAATCTATTATTGTACATCTGCACGATATTTACGAATAGTTTTTAAAGGATTGTGGGTATCCAAATGGACCAAAGCGTCTGTACTTTTGAAGATGATAAAACTTTGACGTCCGTGGTACACATGGGTTATTAACCTCACGTCAAGCATTCAAAACAGTATTTTCATTGAGAGTAGTAAAACGTATGCATTTGGTATCAGACCAATAAGTTTGTATGTCGCTCATGAATTCCAGGCAATTGTTTTTTCTCGGTTTTGCTAATGGGTGGAGCGGACGAGCTAGATTTATGTTTGTTTGTAAATGTAAACGTTTTGAGCTGAAGCCCTCTCTGCAGCTCGCACGACAAAGCATCTGCGTCTAGTAGCACTCGTAATCAATTCTAAGACCTAGTCGAGAAAGCATTGTTTTAATCTGTGGGAATAGAACACGAGTTGTTGAATTACCTAGCCAGATAAAGCTGGTTAGAAAGCTCAAGTCTACTTTTTGTTCTGAAAAGGTTCGATAACAAGAGCTCAATGAGTCAAACGCAGCATTTTTCACCTGCATGTGCTAATACGCTGCCGGCGAAACACATCTAGGGACATCCCAACTTGGCATCAAAAGAACTGATGGCATCGACTGTAAAGCCGCAGGTGCCGTGCGTGCAGCCCTTAGATAAATAGGCGAAGAAAGTCTTTTTCTCTCGTCCAGGAATATCGAGATGATCACAAATTTGACTATGCCTCAAAACGAAGTGCAGCATCTTGCATGTAGTATTTAAGCCAGAAGAGGCACTAACGCTTAGAACGTCGGTGAAAGAGGTGATTCAGACGTAAAAATTTAAATGACAAATGCCGCCGAAGTTCCCGTCGTCTAGCGATGCGTATCGTATGCGTTCGAAGTATTTGTCCATCCGTCAAGAGCGACGACAACTTCTGGAATATATTTAGGAGTTAAAACTCTGATCGATGCATGACGTCAGACCCCTTTCGAAAGAGGTACCGGTTACAACTATCATAAAAGTTTAATTAATGGGTGCGACATGAACCAATAGCTTCCGCGTCCAACCTTCTGCTCTCGAAGAAACGGTGAGTGCTGCAATGAATTTGAAGTACTGCAATGTATTCGGAGTACTGCTTCCGTGCTTCGGCATCCGAATGGAGTATTAAGAGTGGAGCTATATGGCGCGTTAGTGGCGGTGATTCTTGAAAGTACTCTCGAGCAAGAGTGAGATCTTTTTGCTGTCGATCGGCACCGTGATACTCATATCTTTTGAATGCGTGAGAAACTAGTCACACTTGCTCTGTGCATCCTACTTTATCTCCACCAAGAGGTACGAAAAGTCGTGCTCTCGCACATTGTCGTTTGCCGAATTCGTTGCGGATAAAGTTCAAGTTCCAAAAGATGCAGAAGGCCCTCGAGGAAGGTATGAACTAATTATTTCTTGTGTATGTCGAAGTCGATGGGATATCACAAAATCATTCTCATAGTAGCGAGGCTCACACCCGAATCATGTTGCTATCAACATCAACGTTCCGGGCTTTGTGACGTCGCGGACAGTCGAGATTAATTGGGGACATCGTGCAGTTACCAGCATGATTGCCGCAAACATCAGACAAACCTCGGAAACACAAAAGATACCAAAACGAATGCAACATTTGTGTGTCTTGCGACATGGACACTGACAAAAGTGGTGAAGGCTCGGTTGAGAAAATTACGGTAAATTCGATAGCCTCGACATCGTAGAGCGCTGCCATCCTTTGAACCTGGATTGGATATATTATCTTACTCTGGATATAGCTCGGCGTGAGCATCATGATTCATGGGTTGCCACGAAGCCGAAAAATATGTGTCACGCAGTTCTCATATGGTGGATTCTCGGTGATTCATAAACTCATTTCTACCATGAGTAGAAACGCTCTGTTGCGGGCTCAAAGCTACGATAGCTTTTGTGAAAGACATGGTATAACCTGAAGTATCCAAATGAAATATTGCTAAGTGCCTGGAGCTCAGAGCGAGCGCCTGTGAGCCGCGGCTAACGATAATACAGGCAAACTGATCGTTTCTTCGTGGTCTACAAACTATATCTCTGCTGAGGCAGAAATGAACGACAAAAGCGTCGTGTCTGCAGAGGGGATCTCTCGCGGAACGGTCAGATATGGCTATAATGTGTTATCCCCTGTGCCAGAGCTGGTGAAGACAAGTGAGAGCGCGCGCCTGCCAAGCGTGGTATCCTGTGGAGACAGGCATTTGCAAGTTGCAGGTAGAAAAGAAAGGCCGTGACAGACCCGATTAAATATTATTGCTTAATCAACATGACCGGGTAACGCGCCAACTTTGCAAAGTCATGAAGTTGTACATGTAAAGAGTAAAAAATATTCAGTCGTGAGCGGAGTCACCTCGGTAGTTGTAAGTGTTGTAAGTATCCTCAAAATCCAGAGCAAAAGCTCGCA